AACTGTCGACGGGAAAGAGAAAGGGTATTTGAGGGCATCTTACTGGGGAGCATATGACGAGACTTATAACTCAGAGAGACTGATGAGGAAGTGGGGAAGGAAGATTCCTGCCATGGAAATGTTGGTAGAGAGTGTTTTTGAAGTTACTGGAGGTGATCGGAGATTGGTCAAGATGGTGACTGAAAGGCTAAGGAAAAATGGAGGTTGCAGTAACACGATGGAAGCCATGGAAAGAGCAATGAAGCTGGGAAGGAGTGTTTATGGAAAGGTTGTATCGAAGAAGAAGGCGATGAAGTCTCTTCTTGGCTTAGGGACTTAGTGACCAGATTACTTAACAAACACGTCGCCATTGAAGCTAATTGTTATCTTTCCATGTGGAATATAACACTAGAAGCATTTTGCTTCCTGTAATTTCCAAAATGGCATTACAAGAACAATCGTAATAGAGAAGTCGCAATGTGCCAAGAATGTTGGGCTATTATATTGGGCCTTTAATGGGTCGCCTCTTTGACCCGTGCTAAAAATGGGCCTCTAGGCCTCTTATACGACGCTATGAATCTTTAATGTGCTTTGTGTCGGGCCTTTGTAGGCCTTTAACAAGGCCGCCGAAAAGGACACTGAGACCATTATTGGGCCGACTAAATGACCCATTTAGGACATTTGGGCCATTTTACTAGTGTGAGACCTTAATGGGCTTTTCATTGAGTCATTTCTACATTTTTGTGAAGTATATGGACGCGTGACGGACAATTTTGGACCTCATGAACCCTTAACGGACCTTGTGTTGGATCACATCAATGGCCCATTTATGATATCGTTATGATTTTAATGAACTTTTCATTGGACACATTTAGGTCCATTAATCTCTTACTGGACCCTTAATGAGCTCCTGTTCTGTAGCCTCAGACCCATTTTGGAAGTTATGGATTTTAATGTTCGAAAATATCATTAATTTATTTAAAGAGTCGGTCCAGAAGATCTAATCCAATCAGCATACCGGGGTTTACGAAGTAACACGTGTCCGATTCTGGTGTGCGTCTGCCGAATAATCGACCAGTATCTAGGCTTTGCCTGCGTAGGTCCCGGCTACATAATGCATCAGCGTCCATCAGACGCCACGTGTCAGTCTCATAAAGAATCCAACGGTCATGGAGGGGTGACCACGTCCCAGAACGTGATCTCAACCACAGACGATCTCATGCCGTAACCAACTCATACAGTGCAGCACACACGCCGAGGGCAAACAGACCGACAGAGACGCTTTTCAGGTTCTCCATTTTCGCTTCGTCTTCTTCTTCGTCGTCCTCATCGTTACTGGCATATCCAGAGCTGCAGAGAAACATGTTCTATTGAGACTGCTCCGACAAAACGTTTTCTGTGTTTCTTCGTGATTAAGGTATCTACTTACTCTTCAAATTTCGTGCTTCATCTGCATGGCGGAGAAACATCGAGCCATTCACTGTGGACCTAGTTTCTATTGCTAATGTTTTAGTAGTAATGGGAATGAACTCATCATGCGAAAGTGCAATTCGTTTTGGATTCTCTCGTATTGTCAGAGAATATGGCTTTATAGTCTGTTTGGGAATCTCTGCTCTCTGTTTCTCCTACGACGACTACAAGCCTCCTATTTCGCAGCTTCATGACCTAATTATGGTTCATAACATGAGACTAGGATAGGAATCATACATTGTGGTGATCTCCGCTAATTTGTTTCTTTTCCGCAGTTGTCTCTTTGAACGTGTCTTCTTCACAAACATCGCATAGTGTCAGTCGAGGTGAATTGCACAAATATGAAGTTCGGGAAACTGTTCAAGAAGCAAATGGTCCCTGAATGGATTGAAGCTTATATGGATTACGGTGGCCTGAAGAGAATTCTCCGAGAAATATCGAGTTACAAGCAGAGTAAGCAGCTTGGAACGTCTTACAGAGAATTACAACAGAGAGCTCTTCATCGATCCTTCAGTGGCTTGTTGTGTCAGCCGAGGCATACAGATACTGCAGGGGACGATGAGGACACAGTGATAATAGTCGAGTTCAGCAAGATGATTCTAGGAATTTTTATAGGACGAATTTTCTGAGGAAATTCGAAGGAGGAGGAGAAATCGAAGAAACTTTCTTCAGAAAACTCGATGAGGAGCTTAACAAAGTTGACATATTTTACCGAGACAAGGTGGATGAAGTGGTGCATGAAGCTGCTTTGCTCGATAAACAGATGGATGCACTTATTGCTCTGCGGATCAAGGTTCAAAAACCTTGTGTCGATAACCAGAATCTGGAGAAACATCCCTCTGATACTGTCATGACAGATACACCCGAGAGCACGACGAGAATCCCAGGTAACCAAATGATACAAAGGCTTGAAGCTTATGTTTTTTGAAATTCTTGACATCATATGGTATATCTGCAGGTGAAAATATAGAGATGGTGAATGGTATTGACAGAACTGCAATTTCTGAAGAACAAGCCTTTAATGTGGTGGCTGATTCTGTCCCTGTTTTTTGTTATGATTATGGTCACGAAGGGGAAAATAGTACTGGCAACAAGCAGGATCTCCACGAAATACTTGAGCGCGTGAAAATAAAAAATTCACTCGAGTCTCCTATTTCTACCTTAAAAGGGGTTTTCGGGGATTCTAAGAATGAAGAACCGAGTTTCAAGAAAGGACTAAGGAAAGCGGAGGAACAGTTGAGGCTTGTCTTTGTTGAATTCTATCACACACTCCGTCTTCTGAAGGAATACAGGTGAAGAGGAGCAATTATGTTAATAACCTTTTTTTTCCTGATGAGGTGTTTATGATTCTGCTGATTGTGAACCAGTTTCATCAATCTCCTGGCATTTTCAAAGATCATGAAAAAGTACGAGAAGGTTAGATACAAAGTGGTTGTTTGCATTCATACAGCCTTGTTAAGTTAAGCTTGAGCAACTGACATACTTGATGTATATATTTTCCTACTGATTCTGTAGATAGCATCAAGGAAAGTGTCCAGAAATTACATGAAAATAGTGGATAACTCGTTCATTGGTAGCTCTGATGAGGTAACCAGATTAATGGAGAGAGTAGAGGTTACTTTCGTCAAGTACTTTTCAAATGCAGATAGAAGAGAAGGTATGAAGTGTCTACGGCCAAAAGTTAAAAGAGAAAGGCACAGAGTTACCTTCTTTTCAGGTAAGGAAACCTGAGAGTCAGAATTCAATGGTTTTATAAATAAGTTGATTTTCTTTCCCATTCTTCAACTTCCACAGGTTTCTTTTCTGGTTGTTCCATTGCTCTGATTATCGCTGTTGTTTTCAAGATAGAGAATAGAAAGATAATGAAGAAGAACTATGGTATCCCTTACATGACCAACATTATTCCCCTTTACAGGCAATGATTCTGTCTTAGTATTCGAGAGCTTCTGTTGAAAAAATAAAGATATTATCTTTCTTGTCTCACTCACAAACAACTAAATTTCCACCCCCTGCAGCCTATTTGGATACATTATTCTGCATATACTCATGTACGCAGCAAATATTTACTTCTGGAGGCGTTATCGAGTCAACTATACCTTCATATTTGGTTTCAAGCAAGGGACAGAAATGGGTTACAGAGAAGTCTTCCTGGTCGGCACTGGTCTTGCAGTGCTTGCCTTGATCTGTTTCCTTGTAAATTTGCAGCTCGATATGGGCTGGAGAATAAAAGATCACAAGACACTATCTGAAGCTATGCCTTTAAGTTTGGTTGCTGTAAGATTCTTTGGAGTCTTGTCACATTGTGTAGTAGTCATTGATCAAATGCATATGTCAGTGCGATCTAATCCATCCCCTTTTGCAGATTGTTCTAGTCATACTCTTTTGTCCTCTCAACATCATATACCGTTCAAGTCGATTATTCTTCATACGATCTCTAACTCGCTGCGTTTTTGCCCCTCTTTACAAGGTATGTTAATTTAACTCCTTGTATACATTGGGCATTAGACAGCAAAGATAGACCTGATCTTTATGTCCATTCCTCGCAGGTTAGGCTTCCAGATTTTTTCTTGGCTGACCACCTAACCAGTCAGGTTCAGCAATCTTTACTTTGAATTTTTTTTTTGTTACCGGTGTTTTATTATGTGGATGATTCGAACAACAAGATTCTGCTATGGTTGGTCGAGATCAGGTACAGGCCATAAGGAGTTTTGAGCTTTTCATTTGCTACTACGGTTTAGGAGAATACATGCAGAGGCACAAAAAGTGCCACAAGCATGGTGTCTATAATGTCTTTTACTTTGTTGTTGCTGTTATACCATACTGGCTTCGCTTTCTCCAGGTATCATCACATGATTTCACTTTTTTTCTCCCATGTGTTCATCCATTCACATGTCTGAACAAGAATCTGGTATTTTTCATCTTGCAGTGCATCCGGAGATTATGTGAAGAGAAAGATTCCATCCACGGATACAACGCTCTGAAATATCTTTTAACAATCATTGCCGTCGTCATAAGAACAGCGTTTGAACTGAAAAAGGGTCGTAAATGGATGATTTTGGCTCTTATAAGCTCGGGCATTGCAACAGTGATGAATACCTTCTGGGATATCATAATAGACTGGGGATTGCTCCGTAGGCATTCCAAGAATGCTTACCTAAGGGATAAACTCTTGGTGCCTCGCAAGAGTGTCTATTTCGCAGCCATGGTAATCAGACGCACATTTATTTTGTATGTCTTTGCTTTGATGTGATGAGATTTAATACAACTAGACTACCAATAATTTGTGTTTCTTATATATATATATATATATGGAATGTAAACAGGTGCTGAATGTGATACTGAGAGTAGCATGGATGCAGCTGGTGCTGGAGTTCAACATGAGATCGCTTCAGAAAATCGCAGTATTAACCATCACTTCCTGCTTGGAGATTGTTCGTCGTGGTGTTTGGAGCTTCTTCAGGTACCACACACTCTGTATGGATTTTGTTTTTTTTCTTTGTTGCAGACTTATATACCCATAAATTTTGGAATTGAGGAAACTTTGTTGGTTCTCAGATTGGAAAACGAGCACTTGAACAATGTCGGAAAATACAGAGCCTTCAAATCGGTTCCACATCCCTTCGATTACTACGATGATGATGAAACTGACAAGGATGACTGACCAAAACTCCCCTGCCTGTTCTTTGTTTGGGTTTAAGTAGATTGGGCGCAAAAGACAAAAAAAGAAGAACGGTTCCATTTTATTGAAGAGCATGGAAGAGAATGGCAAAGCTTTTTTTCCATCACCATGAAAACTAAAACCTCGTTCTAAAACCTATTGCTTCACATCAAAGGCCTGAGAAGCTATTGATGAACGATTGAAGAAACTGGAACTCATCTGCCTTTGGCAAAATCTGGTGAGGAGTATCTTCATGCTGCGATTATACTTATGAGTCTTTATCTTCGTCGTAGTTGAATGGTAATGGTACTGACTTGAATGCTCGGTACCTCCCAACGTTATTCAGGTGCTCGTTCTCCAGCCTTATCATCAACCAACCGATAAAGTACCATTAAAAAGGAGTTTCGGAAAAAATTCTTGCAGTTCCAACAAGAAAATAGCCTCGTAAATAGGTTACCTGAAGAAGTTCCAAATGCCTCGGCGTACAATCTCGAGGCTGGCGAGAAGGGCAATCATAGTTTCTCGGTGTAAGAACGAGAACCTGAAATCCAGCACTGTCTGTAACCATACGAACCTCAACACAACATTCAACACCTGCAAGAAAGGGAAAAAAACACGTTTTAAAGGAACTGAAACCGGAACGCGTTTTGGCTCAATCAGGGATTTTCCATTGTCATTGCTTACCATGGCAATGAAATACACACTCTTGTGAGGAATGAGAAGCTTCTCTCTCAACCAGCTGTTTCTGCTTCCTCTCTGAAGTAATCCCCAATCAACAACAATGTCCCAGTAAGTGCCATAAAAGGTAGCAATGGCTGAAAACACCCAAGCAGTGACTTTCCATTTGATTCCTTTGTCAAGGCTATAAGCTGTTCTTACGCAAACGGCGAGGATGGTCAGGAAATACTTGAGAGCATTCAACCCTTGTCTTGAATCTCTCTCTTCGATTAATCTTCTAAGACACTGGAGAAGGCGAGACCAGTAAGGAGTGACTGCTACAATGAAGTAGAATGTTTTGTATACATCGCTCGATCTGCATGTGTTTTGTCTGAGCCTAAAGTCTCCCCAACCATAGTAGCAGATATAGAACTCTAGACTCCTCAGTGCTTGGACCTGCACAGATATGTGATTTTGGACATTGAGAAACCTCCTCTTGCATTAGAAGGTTTTTAATGCATAAAAGAAGGTGATGATATGATACCCATGATGATGATGCATACCTGGCTTGTTAATTGGTCTGCCAAGAAGAAATCTGGAAGATTCACCTGCAGAGTTTTGGAAACTTGGATATGTTTCTCGTTTTCTTCAATGTTATTTTATTGCAGATGAATGGATTCAGAGATGAGTACGTACCTTGTAAAGTGGTGCGGCCACGCATCGAAACAAAATGGCAAGGAAAAAGAACCGGCTTGATCGGTAAAAGATGTTGAATGGACAGAGAGCAACAGCGATCAGAATCTGTAAATGTGTATGAAAACCAGTCACCACACAAAGGAGGTGATTGTATTAGAGATATATACATATACAGATACATAATATCTCTATCTATCTGGGTTCAGTGAAACTTACAATGACCAGAAAAAGAGGAAGAAGCTCAGTGATGGTCTTGTAGTCATTTGTTTTGGGGTCCATTTCCATATCAAGGTTTAACAGCACAGAAGACAGAGCTAGTGTACCAAGACCAAAACTGAAGAGGAGAACTTGGCTGAAACCCAGTTCAGTGCCTTCCTTGAATCCAAATATGAAGGGGTAATTCACTCGGTATCTCCTCCAGAAATATATATTAGCAGCGTACATGATCATGTGCAGAACCACGAACCCGAACAAGCTGCATTATTTTTATCATTACTTGTTATAGCAAGAAATGTTGATCTATCACAATTCAAAGAGTACTACTGGTCGTTCATGTGCATCACCTGTAAAGTGGGAACATCGTTTCCATGTAGAGTTTCTGCCCTTCTTTGCCCGTGATGTTACGGACATGGATGATCAGAGCAAGAGCTATAATGAGGGAGACAGTGCATCCAGCCAAAAAGCCTGGAGAAGAAGAAGAAGAGGTATTAGTCCATGACATACTTCAGCCATTTTCTTTAATCTCTCCAGTCTTTAGTTTACCAGTGGAAAATGTTATCCGGTGTTGTTCTTTTTTCACTTTTGGTCTTAGGAGGCTCATTCCTTTGCTCCGGTTTCCATTGGCGAAATGCTCCACGAAGGTAGATTCCACTCTCAACATAAGGTTGTTAATCTGTGTACATATAAAGCTCCCGTTGAAGTTCTTTTTCAGGGGCCGTGAAAAGACGAGGGCGAGTTTGTAAATCAATCTCTTTACCTCATCAGAGCTTGTGAGATAGGAGCTATCCACCATTTCCAAGAACGGTTTAGCTGCATTTCTTGAAGCAACCTGAAAGAAGAGAAAGAGTTGATAAGTCTCCAAAACTGGTTTTGCCACTCGAGTCACTGCTGTAAGTACCTTATCATACTTCTTCATGATCTTCGAGAAAGCCAAGGTGTTCAAGAAGCTGTATCATCAACAACACATGGATTCAGAGCTTTAAGGATTCTTTTTTTGGCAGAAAGTAAGCTTAACCCTCCTGAAAACTTTTGGTTTAAACTGCGAAAACAGACCTGAAATTCTTCGTTATCCGAAGCTTGTGATAGAACTCAATGAGAACTTGTCTGAGTCGTTCCTCGATCTTCTTCAGATTCTCTCTGGTGAACTTGAGCTCTTCCTGCTTAGTGACCTTGAGGATGTTCCTGATGGTGGACTGAGGAGTTTCCAGTGTATTGTTCAGGGTGATATGGCCAAGAACATCCATTGGCGATTCCCTTTCACGCTTAAACCCCTCAGGTGTCTGATCAGACATAACATTCTCGTCGAGGGAAGGTAGGGTCCCGTTTTCGGTATCATTACTGCGTCGCTCATGGGCAGTATCTTCCACTTTTGAGCCCATCTGATCAGCTAGTGTCCTTCCTGTTTATCAATCCAAAAAAAAAAAGAAAAAAAAATCAGACTTGCTAATTGAAAGATTTAGATCAATCTCTTCAGGTTGCAGTGAAAGGTCTGCAAATCTCTGTGTTCAAAAGGACAAGCGATCTGAGAAACTTACTGTGTGACTGTGAAGCAGAGCCCTCGGAAGCTAAGGCATTCATATCGACTGAAACAGACTCTGTGAAGTTCCAAGAAGAAGAGGGTTTCTCGACTTTGACCCTGAAAGCAATGAAAGCATCCATTTGTTTGTTCAGAGCCACAGCCTCCTTCACGATCTCCTCCACTTTCGACCGGTAAAAGTCATTCACCTTGTTGAACTCACGATCTAGGGTTCTAAAGAACATCAGCTCAGTATCTCCTCCTGCCTCTGCAGCTTTCAAGAATGTCGTCTCGATGGAATCTGTCCCGTCTTCTCGAGTCACGGCGCTAACCATAACGTCTGGACTGTCGGAATCTATGGCCGACACGTTGAAGCTGTACCTCTTCGTTAAGCCGCTGAAAGCTCGGCGCATAGATAACTTGCGTCTCAAGGCAGCGGCCTGAGGTTTGTCAGATCTTTGCCTGGAAGCTTCAATGTCTTTGAGAATGGTCTTGAGATAAGCGTAATCCATGTACGCTTGTTGCCATTCTGGGATCATTTGCGAAACGTATTCTTTCCCGAACTTCATCTTTTTTCCAACTACTGTAAGAATCTGGAGCTGGAATTTCTTATTTTAAATGCAAGAATTCTTTTGATTATCAGATATGGCTAGAATGATAAAGCTTATGTGAACGATTCCGACCGCAGGAAAAAAAAAATCGGACAAGGAGACAGAAAAGTTTATGAACAAGAGAGGAAACGTAAAAGCGGAACGAAGGGTGAAGCTTAAGAAATTTAGCCAGCCATGCGAACTCTGAACTTGTCAAGGTCTCTATTCTATCCA